GCCTTTGCTCACAACAAAAACAGTCTTATGTGACTATTATGCCCAGCCTTGCCAAGCGTTTCCTAGAGATTTGGGTCCTCTGTGGACCCTGTCCATTTGTTGTATCAGGAAGACGGCCATGAGCTTGTTTAAAACCAAGTTATTTATCCAGAAATCTTTTGTCTGTCGGCTAATCACTGGAAAATGCAGAATGAAGTAATCTATGTGAACCTCTTGTAGGGTGCTTCACATTGGAGGAATTACGTTGGCATCCCCCTTTTCCTAGCAGAGTTACATACAATTCCACAAGAACACATCACAATTGCATTTTAGTACAAAGGCATTAAACTTGATTCAGTCAGGTTTAACTTAATATAATAAAGTTTCTCTTATTTCCATAAGATTTGTCTAGACTTTTGCCAATCTCACATAAGGGGCTATGTTGTAAAATATCTTTACTATAATTTTATGAGATTGTTGAATAATATAACTTAGCATATGTACTTGAATTTGTTGGTTCTCACTCTACTGAAAAACAGTAACCTTATCACTTCAAAAAATTATATACATTTTCTGTTACTATGGAAACATGAGAACAGTGTCCATTTTAGCTGCAAACAACTTTTTGTTTCCCTGCATTAAAGATTTGGAATTATTTTAATAGCAGACTTAATGTCTAACTTCTATTTTAGAGGAATTATCTCCTACACTAGCATTTCCTGGATGGGGTGAGTATAAGGATTGCTGATTATGTGGGAGCTCTTTATCAGAATCCATTATGTATTGATTATCAATAAAGGGCTTTTCATTTACTTAGAATCCTTACCACTGCTCTCTTTGGATTTAATATCCTTCCATTCTCTTGTCTTTATCTAATCTGCAAGGTTGAAATAATTACTGAGCATTCAAGAGTACACTGTTTCTTCAGCCTACAAAGCATTAAGAGCCCTGATATAAGCTACCATTCAATAACATGTTAGTGTTCCTTTAGGGAGCATCATTTTCTTTTTTACATTAACTATACTTCAAAGATACAGCAGTGCCAATTTAGCATGTGTTTCAGATGGGTAGAGTAGCTATGTATCAGACATGGAAAGATTTGCCTGCTAGTTACATTAGGTCAGTGTTTCTCAACCAATGGTATGAGTACCATTAGGGGTACTCGAGAGAAGTCTGGGGGGTATGTCAACACAACTGAATTTTGGAGAAAACTGAATTTTTGTTTTAAGTTTTACAGCGCTTTATTATTTTTGTACTTTTTACACCTAAAAATTTCATCACCCGCCTGGCTATGATTAAGTTGTATAAACAAATGTGTTGCAATGGTAGAAAAAAATGTTTCTAAAAACTAGGTACTGGAAGTACTTTTTTTTTTTTAAAGGGGGTACTTTATAAAAAAGGTTGAGAAACACTGCATTAGGTGACCAAAGTATGTGTCTACATATGCTACCTATAGTTAGTGATCAATTATTCATCATGCTGAATCTTGAGTGACTTCCAGTTCAACAGACACAATAAGCACTACAGAATGTAAGGGTCAACAAGAGAAGCTGATTTACTCCAGCTGGAATAAACCAACTAGATCTCCATGGCTCAGCTGTATGCAGCTG